TGTCCGACTTCCATTGCTATCTCAAGAATATCTAGTAGAGACAGTTGGAGAAGAAAACCTTATTAAAACTAATATATTTTGTAAAGACTTGCTTATTGAGGCTATGAAATTTCATCTGACCAAAGGAGACCAGAAAGCAGTGTATAAAACCCCAAGGACAAAACCCAGGACACCCATAGGTTTGCCAAAGGTATGGGGTCTCTGCGTAGTCAAAATTTTTGTAAAATGATAATACATTAAGTCCAAAGCAAAGAGACAGGTTTATGACTTATGCCCATCAATTTATTTTTTCCCTGTCTTTTAATGAAATTCGCCCAGTATTGTGCTACAATGTTTTTGCTTCTAAGAATAATTAAAAAAAAGCTGTACTGAAAGTATCAACCAATAAATTCTTACTGACCTCTGAATGGTTCACTATCGATTCAGGTTCTACTGGTGATGGGGGGACAAGCACCCAAAGCCATCAGAAGTGTGGAGGTGTATGACTTCAAGGAGGAGAAGTGGATGACAGCAGCAGAGATGCCGTCACGGAGGTGTAGATGTGGTAAGGGAGTACACAGACTCTGGATCAATAAGCCTTAGCCAATGATTTCGTGTTATGGTAAATGATTTGTTGAAAATCCATTTTATATGTATTTTTGATGTTTCTTTGCTCTATCTCCAATATTTTCTTTTAAACAGTACTGTCTTTAAGATGTATGCAGTTATTTATATATATTTTCCATATTTTATTCCAGGCACCGCTGTCTTGAACACCTTAGTCTATGCTATAGGAGGTTTTAATGGGTCATTACGTGTACGGACAGTGGATGTTTATGACCCTGCCAAAGACGCGTGGACCACGGTGGCCAGTATGGAGGCCCGTAGGAGCACCCTGGGGGCAGCCGTGTTAGGAGGGCTCATCTATGCGGTAGGGGGCTTTGATGGCACCACTGGGCTCAATTCAGCAGAGTATTACGACCCACGGACCAATGAATGGAGAATGATATCACCTATGAGCACAAGGAGGAGCAGTGTGGGTGTGGGAGTGGTGGGACGTAAGTATTGGAGATAGGCAAGTGAATCATAATGATAACCAGTGGTAATGATTATCATAATGATTTATTTTTAAAAGTTCAATACATAAAAATTGAGGGTAAAAATATGGGTTTGAATTAAAAGATGATATTAACATAAAAATAGAATATTACATTTTACTAATATAAAAGTGAGGGTTATGGGATGTAAGAATTGGATGTAAATGAGTGTGTTATGGGAGAAAGGACTATTGAAAGAAAAGAACCTCAAGTCAAAAGTACAAATGTCTATCTTAGTTTGCATGCAACATCCAGTCCTTAAATGACTACAAGTAGATTTATTTCAATTAGCATCAACATTTCTGTCTGTATAACTTCAGATCACCTGTATGCAGTAGGAGGATATGATGGGGCATCACGGCACTGTCTAAGTTCTGTAGAGTGTTATAGTCCTGAGGCTGATATTTGGGCTGGTATAGCTGACATGTCATGTAGGCGCAGTGGGGCAGGTTAGTACTTGCAACTATGTGTGAAACTAATATTTCAGCAGATGTAGAGAATGTTTCTTTTAATATACATGTATTTTAAAATGAAAGTGCTTGCATGCACTCACTGATATGTAGCTGTATAATGTATAACTCAGTAAAGGATGACATCACGGAAACCATGATCACTGTATTGTGTACCTTCCAGGTGTGGGGGTATTGGACGGGTTGCTGTATGCAGTGGGAGGTCATGATGGCCCTCTTGTCAGAAAGAGTGTGGAGGCATATAACCCAGAGATCAACACATGGTCCCAGGTGGCCAACATGCACCTGGCTAGGAGGAATGCAGGTGAGTGTGACCCAGGTATTATATCATGTGATGAAGCATGTTGACAAGTGCAATTTGCTTAATCTGATTATCATGTACACAAACACTCTCTCTCACACACTCATAAACAAATATATATATAAACAAAACGTCACTGTGTCCAACACAAACTGATTACACTGTTTTCTCTCTCTTTCTCCCCAGGTGTGGTGGCACATGGTGGTTTCCTGTGGGTCATAGGTGGTGATGATGGTATCTCTAATCTGGGCTCAGTGGAATTCTATAATCCTAAAACAGACACTTGGACATTGTTGCCTAGCAACTTACAGACTGGAAGGAGCTATGCCTCCGTAGCAGTGGTGGATAAACCGCTGTGATCAGCATCGTGTTTGTTTGTGATCACATTGTCAAGATGGAGCCAGTCTCACAAGACAACTCAAGCCAAAAGTTGCTGTTATTGTTATGGTGAAATTTGCTCTACAGTAACTTCAGGATAAATTTGAAGAAGTTCACCAAAAGTAACTGTTTGTCAGTAAGCTAAGACATTATTATTATTAATATTATTATTATTATTATTATTGATGTTGTTTTAGCTTTGGTTTAATTTTCTAGTTTTTAAGTAAAAACCAACTTTTGGCTGGTGTTTTGTAAACTGGTCTTCAGACAGTATTTCATCATACAATATGCTTTGGCAATGGGGAACAACTATCTCAAAATATCATGTAAAACAATGGCATTGGCAGTGAAAAATCATTACCAATGGCATTCTGTGCTGCATTCTTTCTGTCATTGGAACCAGTCACCATGTAAGGATTTCTGCTGTTCAATGTTTTCAAATTCTGTGCTGCAGGGAAATCAGCAAGTAGGAACATCTTATAATGAAGTGTTCATGCTGTAATTGTGTCAATACCAAACCAATAGCTTTGTTAACCAAACCAAATTTATGAACACAGCTGTTGTTGGACTGCAATTTTTTCAATTCAGTGCTGCCTCTGGTTTCTTCACGTGTGATTAGCAAACAATATGCTTTGTTTCAGTGTATCAATCTCAGCTAAAATACCATGGGCAAATTTTCATGACAGCATTGTCAGACTATGTCTAACAGGTTATGGGTAAAATGTATATTTCAGCCCATCAAAGGGTATGTGTAAATGCATTGGCATTCCCTGCAGCAGAGTAATCATTGATGACACAGAGCATTCATGACATGCTATGTTTATCACATCTTTAGGGCATACAGTTCTGTGAAAATGTCAGTTGGAGAAATAATATACAACGATATGTGAAAGAGGATTACATTTTTTCTTTGAAAATTTGGAGAAAGCTACGAGAAAGCACCATATGTGACACAGGGGTGGTACAGCATATAAAATGACCTTGTATTCAATTTTCATATATGTAGTGAAATTGACATTTTCATACATTATAAAAACAATCATGACGTAACATGAGGTGTTACACAGTTCCTTTTTGTTGATTTTTCAATTCTTTGATCATTTATGATTAATATTTTGGTGTTTGATATAAGTAACTTTTTTCATAAAAATGATTTTCCAAATATGTGGTTTCTTGTGATTGAGGGCAGTTGTATATGTGTTATGGGATTTTATATTGTTATTACATGGTTTTGGATTTTTTCTATAAATTTCTTAAAATTTCTATAAATTGTGTCTAGTACTTTGTTAGCAAATCATTGCCAATTTATTATTTTATTATTCTAGTATACTGTCCCTGAAAGACATAAACCACAAATCAGAATTGATATGTATGGTGCTATTTTCCTAAAGGTTTTGTGCATGGGATAATGCTGGCTTTTAAAATGTTTCTTACAGAGGATCTGACTTACTCATCACTGTGTGGGGCCTATAAAACTACATGAACTTTGGGCATTTTATTAATTATTATAATATTTATTAATTATTATTATTTTATTTTTTATATTTTGTCAATGTAGATCATGATGGTCATTATGTTTAAATTAAAATTGTAGCAGAGTAACAACCTCAATATCTGGTTGACAACCACTGAAGGGATTAAAATGGGCAGAAAACACCAACACTGTAATCTTTTTTAGGTTCCAGAAAGTGACATTTTACCTTGAAATAATTACATTTGTGTACCCGTTCTGTGATATAATTGGATATTCATGGGATGTATAGAGACAAGAAGTATATCACTGTTGACCCATTTTTGGCAAATTGATGAAAAAAGTGATTTGAAAACTTACGCTTTGTTTCTTGGGTTAAAACGCAATACTGATAATTAGTGTGAATGTCATTTTTTTTTTCAAATTGTATAGTTTTGTGCCAAAATCCCATATATGACTATAACTTTTAAAGTTGAATCACCAGTGATTATGCATTAAAGATACTGTCATTGATGGATCTGAAGTAAGATAAAGATCATATGCTAATGTGAACCAAGTTTTGCCCTTATCAGTATTTTCATTTCCAGGTGTGTAGGTATTTGTGTACTACGTGTGTTATTTTGCTATATGTAATAAATTTTTTAAAAATCTCTGAAAATTTTTGATTGAAGCCTGGAAAGTATCTGTGCTTAGGAAAAGCTAAGGCCGCATTCACATCGAGTTGAGCCATGGGTCTTCAAAGCCACGACCTAAATATGGCGGACATACATGAAAGGAAAAACTCCTAATCTCTTAATAGTCTCCCCGCCTCCCTATGCGTCGTCCCTGCGGGGGTACAGTCATTAAATCTCGGCTCCATTGGGACGACACATGGGGAGGTGTGCGAGAGGCGGAGAGACAATTAAAAGATTAGGCAGCTTCCTTTCATGTACATCCGCCATATTTAGGTCGTGGCTTTGTAGAGCCATGGCTCAACTCAATTTGAATGCGGCCTAACAAGAGGAACTAATCTGCCTTACAGTATAATATTAATGGCAACCTAAACAGGATTTTCTTAAATCCCTGTAACATCATCAGTTGAGAAGTCACAAATGAGAACAATCTAAAGCAAGAAAATAATTACAAAATCAAGTCACAAATCAGCATAACATACATTAAAGATCGGATTATTAGAAACAAGCAATTTATTCTTTAACGCATGCAATTTAAGTTTGTGTCCAATTATTTGAAGTTTAGAAGGATGTGCGCTTTAATAAATGAAGGAGTAAGATTGTGAACCACAAACCAGTCATCAACACTTTCAGTACTTTAAAAACTGATATTTATTACAGCATGATGAGTAATCATCCAAATACAATTCACACTTGGAACGTGTTGTCTTGGATGTACATTTATGGTATTATCTAAAGATGTGATGTTTTAAAAAGTTTTGTCTATCCTAAACTATCCATAACCAATAAATAAGTAATAATTAACATGAAGCCTGGTTTGTAATAGTCTAGAATAAAACATAAGAAAGCATTGTCCTTTGGCTCTGTGACGTCCAACAACACCTCTACCCCTTCATAAAAACCGGTCTAACATGATGGAATGCTACTGTGCACAATGCACTGCAACTTGGATGTGACTGGAAATGAGATAACTCCCTCAGCTACTGGAAACATTCTCATTGCTGAGCTCGTTGGGGGACCAAGTCAGTTATTTTCATCAGTCTGGGCCATGTAGGCATCCAATTCAGCATCCAGGTGAGCCTTGGTTTTAGACATGTAAGCATCCAACTGGTTATCTAATGTCTCTTTAGAAACTTGACCTCCGCCTCCACGACCTCTGCCCCCTCCTCCGCGACCTCGCCCACCTCCACGTCCTCTAGTGCCTCTTCTTCCACGGAAACCACCTCTACCACGGTACCTATAACAAACCATTCAATTAAAGCCTGTTGTCTGGAAATGTGTAATTTAATCATTTAGAATTTTATTACACACAACAGCCCTGAAAGCAAATGACCCACAGTCTGGTTACTACTCTTTATTAGATACCTACATTTTACTGCATAGTTCTAGACAACTGAAATGTAAAATTTCAAAATTACAGACATGAATTATATATGGTTTCTTAACTTTAAACACCATCTGTAATAAAATATCATTTAAGAATCACCCATCAAAAATGCGTTTTCTAATTCTTCCATGCCAAATAGACTGAAAAAATTGTTTGAAGCTACTGCATACAAATAAAGGGGAAAAATCGATCACAAAACACATTTTAAATATATTAATTCTAGGAATTAGAAAATAAAATTCGGGTCACTCCTTGGAGGCAGTTATGAATCCTAAGCAGAGTTTAAACATACTACAAAAGAAAAACAAGAGGCATATCATGGTTACTTTTGAATTTGAATTTGGATTCTTTAATGCCAAAATCTAAACAGAACAAGCTGCAACATTTGAAGAAAGTGATAGCTTAAATCAACGAAGTACTTCCATGCATATTCTTGTTTATTCATCTCAAACAAGTTTATTCTGCAACACGTCTTTCATTACATATTTCACATACGTTGAAACTGAATCAAAATCAAAGGTTAGTTGGCATCAATGCTTCTAAATTAGCAAACACTGAATATCATCATCTAATCATTAGTAAAAACAATATTCAGATTGTTATCAACAAAACACTGGATAGGGTTCCTGAAAAAAAAAAAGGAAAACTGTTTAATAGTAGTTTTCCGTGCATAAACCGCTGCATGCAGGGAACACGCCCCCTTACGTGTCACCAGACTCGCTGTTGTCCATCCATGGACGCCCTCTGCGCCACTTGTTTTTGTTTCCTCTTCTTCCACGACCTCTCTCAGAGTCTTGGCTGTGGCAATAAATGAGGTTCAAATGAGCAGAAAAGATGTCTACCTTTGAAATGAGATTGCTCTTATGTTGGCTTAAACAAATGTTGGATTAATTGAAAATGTATAAAATTGGGCCTGACACCACTGTTGGAAAGAATTTTCCATATACACCTTTATAAAATGTCAACAAACATTAACATAATTTCTCCTTTTTCAATTATTACAAGTTTTTAACAATTGACTTTTTCAAAAATAAACAGTAAAGAGCTGTAGTAAAGCAGAACATCAAAGCAGATTTAAAGGATGCATGCTTAATTTTGGATTTTAACATTGCAAACAAAAAGGAATCAAGTTGCCCCTCCTTGAAGTCACTCCTTTTTTTTTTTTTTGGTGAATATGGTTTTTAGACTATGATATGTCTCATGCATTTTTTGTTAAGAAAACTGATTTGGATCGTTTATAATTTTGTTTCTGGCCAAAGAATGAAGTCTGAATGAATCTATTCTCACATGCCCCACAACAAAAAACAACTTCAGAATCCCAACAAACTTAAATTATTCTACAAATCTTTTTGAATCTTTGCACTAAATGTTACATTCATCAGCCCTCTCTTCCCCTCTCTTAAAATTTGAATCTTTTTCCATCAAAAGATTTGTAGCATAAAGTTCATGGGATTCAAACTAAACAGAAGCATCCTGTATAAGTACTGCCAAGCTGTCTGCCTTACTGATATCTCCAAGATCCCCTCTGAGAACCACGTCCTCTAGGTCTCTCACCACGGAATGGAAAGAAACCTCCATCTTCATATCTACAAGTTGTCAAGATGGTTTCATAAAAGTTGGATAATTTTTTCTAAACAGAAGAAGATTCTGCCATGAAAAATAACAATGGACTTCAATTTGTACTATAATGCAGTAGCCTACAAGTTGGCAGGTTGTCCTTGTTCCTACCCCAATACCTGCAGCTTTCCTACCTGTTTATTCCTCCAAATCCTCCACCACGTGGTCTGAAGGCTCCCCTTCCACGCCTAGCACCCCTGCCTAGAATAGCATTCAAAAAGTAATAAGTAGAAATAATTGCAAGTAAATATTTTTTAATATAAATGCCATTCAAACTCATAAAAAAATAAGAGTTCAATTACAATGAGCAAGAGTTAAGGCTGTATATCTTAGATCAATGTACTTCAAAATCAATTTTATCTAGATAAAAAGATAAAGCAGTTCATTGTAAATTAACCTCTGGTGTGAGAGGAGTTGGTGTTGTACATTATGTTGACCATACTAAAGCTTACCTCCTCTAAACCCTCCTCTTCCTCTGGTAGGACTGCCCACAAGTGAGTTGTCCCCACTGCCTGATGTGTTCAATCTTTCCCTGCCACCTCCTCTACCCCTCCCCCCTCTCCATGGTCGCCGCCCACTCTGGTTCCCTCCACGTCCTCCTGTATTTGCGCCACGCCCACCAGGCCCTCCTCTGCCACGCCCACCTCTATTTGGAGGTAGCGTCAGTCTGGATTTGACATTGTTGTTGCCCAGTCTTTGTTGTAAGCTTCTCTACAATAACAGTGCTAATGTGAATAGCTTTTTGTAGTAAAACACAACTTTCATTGCAAATTTATGTCATCATTTTCCATCACAGAAATGATACATAAAACATGTTTTAAAGAAGGTGGAAAGAATAGATGATGCACTGATTCTATATGCTCATTAACATTTAGATCACTTATGATGTTCTCTTTACTAAAACAATAAAACACTATAAAAGATTACCTTTTTAAGTCTCAAGGCTGCCTGAACAATGGGCCTGTTCCCCATCTGTTGGGCTAGTCGCCTGTTCTTAGAGGAAGCTTGCTGCTGGGCTGCCATTTTGGTCCGTATTTGTTGGACAGGAGACGGTTTCTGTATGTTGCTGAAGCTTTACGGGTGAACAGAAGCAATTCAGTAGCTGTAATTGACTCACAGTGACAGCTTTCACAACAAAAATTAAATGACAAAATGAGGATTTTAGAAAGCAAGAAAATAGGTTAAATGATGTTGATGAGCTGAGGAAAAAGGATAATCAAGTGTTACAATGATCAAAACCAACCCAGGGGATAAACAAAAGGATCAAAATTGAGCAAAGACCTGCTAAAGAAAAGCTAAAATATGATCAATTCCATTCACATAAGGTAACAATTGCTTTAAAATAATTGATAGTCACAAGAGGTTAAGTTTGAAGAAAAATGGAATGATTTTATCACACTGAAAAGTTATGAATGTTTTTTTTAATGGAAATGATGCTTTAAAATGTTAGCCCTGAAGAATGTGAAGGTGTGTATGTGTGCCAAGAAACTGATGAATAACAGATGAATCTCCAAGAAAGAATTGAACAATTTAACACTGGTGTGGCTGTATGTGTGTGAGAGAGACATTGATGATATGATGAATGAATTATGCAGGGATTTTTGACAACAGAACAAGGTTGAAAAAATATGGAAGTTAACAGAAAAAAGTTAAGTATCAAACCTATGAAAAGTGAAGTGACAAGAAATCATTTAGAAAACATAATGTTGAAAAACCATGATCAAGAATTAAAAATTATGTGTGAAAAGAAAGAAAAAGAGAGGAGTGGGAATCACTGCTGCTGTCTCTTACTACTCACACAAGCCCCAGGCTCTGCAAGCTGGACAACAGAAACAGTGTTGAACTCTGGCCTACATTGCTTCAGCACAGAACTTGATGGGATGAACCATCTCCATTGTTTGGTGAGAACCTGATGCGAAGATTTGCCATGCCATTATAAAAACAATATTGGCAAACCAAAGCGAACAGCATCACCATGCAGTCACCACCAAGCTTCTACACATTAAAAACATGTAGCTAGCTTTGTGCAAAACAATGTACAATGTTCAGGTGACAAATTTAACTGTTTATGGCAGCAGTCTTACATGTTTCTCATTAATTCATGCACTAGGTACATAATAAGAGTATAGATCTTTTGATCTTTCTTTTGCATCTGATTTTCTTAAATGCTGCCATTTCTTTTTGCATGTTTCAATAGTTGCTTAATATGGGTTCTCACCGATCATTAAGAGAGATTTTTGTTGTGCTTTTGAGCACAACTTTTGCTGGAACTGATGCCATGGTATTTCTTGGATAGTCGCCCAATACCTCTCTGATCTGAAGCGATGCTAAGGATTTTTAAATTAGTAGACTTTAAATTTCCAACATAATACTTGTAACGTAAAAACCTACGACTGATACGTATTTTGAGAGAGAGAGAGAGAGAGAGAGAGAGAGAGAGAGAGAGAGAGAGAGAGAGAGAGAGAGAGAGAGGGGTTACTTTATACAGCTATACTTTACACATTTCAAAAAGATACATTTCCCTTGGTTTAGTGTCTCTTAACCATCAAGATGTCGGTGGATTTATCCAATTATCTCCTAGCTGTCAAACTACCCAAATATGGCGTCTTCTAGATATTCATCCCGCACTTAAATTGTATACAAATTACTTTCCAATCATGTATGCATATATTTATATTTTCATGAAATGGTAATTTTTAATAACATTTCTGACTATATCTGTTAAGATAAAATTGTAAGTATTAGTAATTTGTATTCATAAAAATGGACAATTGCTGGACAATTCCGTTCACTTCTGTGCTGAGTCCATTGTTATTTAAGGGGTGAAAGGATATATTTCACAGAAAATACTGCAAGTAAACAAAAGTTAAAAAACCAAAAGTTATAAAAAATTAATAATTACTTTTTCATAAATATATACACACCTTTATCAAGTGTTCGATGACAATTTTTATTTTTACTCATTTTTTATTTTGAACAATATCCCCCTAACAACCTCGTGACGACAGCAACAACAACGTGGAGGCCATTTTGCATTGAAGATCGAAGTTTTCACGGCCAAGTCTGATACAACTACTTTTATTTACATATTATCACAGACACAGATACGAAAATGGTAAGTATTTTATGACCTTTTGATAACTTTTCTTATCTTTTATGGGCCCAATATAATTTTATACAATGGGCGTGCTCTAGCATCACGACCCAAGCAGAACTGGTCCTCAGTCAGTAAATAACACAGAATGACATAAGGGAAATGAACAATTTCAAGCTGTTCAGAGGGCTGACAGTGATAATTAACATTGTTAAGGTGTTTGCTTTTAGTTTATTTGTCAGGAAAAGAGCTCAAGCCTTTACTTTTTGAACTTAAGTAGTACCAACAGTACACATTTATGCCGAGTATGATATATGATTCAAAATGTAAATTTACCACAAGGTAAACATTTGCAGAGCATCAAATCCAGATATATTCTTTAAATGTTTACAAAAATACAATTAAGTGAACATGAAATATTCTTTTAGACGACAGTCAGGCGAGTGACGCATGCTCACCAGGAGCAGATGCGCCAACAGAAAAGAAGGCAAGAAGAATTTAGGGAAGACACAATAAAGAACCTTGGACACGAAAAACTCTTGCAAGCTAACATGGATAGTGAAGACAAAGTAGAAGATAAACGATTTATCAGAAGGATGCAGCTAGAACAGAAAGAAAGAGAAATGAATGAAGCAATTGAAAAAGCAGAAAGAGACAGAATACTTAAAGCACGTCAGTTAGACCAAGAAGAAAGGATGGCATTGGAGTTGGAAAGAATAAAATTGGAATCCTTAAGAGATGAAAAGATGAGACAACAAATTAGAGAAAACAGGTATGTAAATGCTTGGTAGTCTTTGTCTATCCACACATTACATAATTACACAATAATTTGTGTGTGTGTGTGTGTGTGTGTGTGTGTGTGTGTGTGTGTGTGTGTGTGTGTGTGTTTGGGGAGCATAATCTGTAATCATTTATACCATTCTGTTCAAATTAAGGTTTACTGATGTTTCAAAATGTCTTAAAACTTAATTGTTATACTGATGTGTGTTTTTTTCTTGTTTGATATTATGTAAAGACTTAATATGCTTTTGTTATAACTAATGAATATTACCTGGATGAATTTGTATGTATTGGTGAATCATGGTGACTTCATGACAGAAACTAAAGTTGATTCTTTGATAATATATTAAATTAATATTGGTGATGACTTTCAGTCTGGAGTTAAGAGAATTAGAGGCAAAACTAAAGAATGCATATATGAACAAAGAAAGAACAGCACAGATAGCAGAAAAAGAAGCACTGAAGTATGACAAAATGGTAAGTATAAACCCTCTGAAATACAAATCTATTTATTGAGAGCTTACAATATTTGATACGATTTTTAGCATTTTGATGGAATGACAACAATGACATATTTGAATAACACACCTATTGACAGTTCAGTTTACTCTCAGTCTCTTGTGATAATTTTTACATTTCAAAATAGGCCATTTTGGGCTATTCAATAAAAAAGATACAGTTCCTTATTATGTGGTGGTAATCCTCATAGCTCATAAAGCTAGGATATTCCATATCTGCATATCTGTCTTACTTCAGGCTCGTGATTCTGAGATTGCACGTAAAATGAAGGAAGAGCACCAACGTGCTGCAGATGCTGAGTACCAAAGAGAAGTAGAGAGATACCAAGAACAAGTGCGTTATCAGCAGGAGCTAGAGAGACAATTAGAGGTGGGTAATATTTGTTAGCTATGTTGTGTTGTAAATAAAGCACAAATGAAACAAAATTAGTGAACTTTATAACCATATAATGTCTTCATTTCTAAGATGGATGCATACATTTAATCAAAATTACCATCTTAAAAATAACTTTACCCAGTTCACTACAGGAAATGACTTAAAATATTTCCATTCAGGATAATATATGTGAAAGTATTTTATTATCAAAAAAAGTATTTTTGGACATGTCTGAACAAATAGAATATTATACTTTAAGGAGCAAGAAATCAAGAAACAACAAGCCTATGAAGAGTTCCTAAAGGAGAAACTGATGATTGATGAGATTGTCAGGAAGATTTATGATGAGGATGAAAGGTATGGATGCTGAATCATTAATAGGAAATCATATCACAAAAGGAATTTTTAAAAATTTAAAGAAAAATAACATTCCATTACCAGTTCAACATGTTTTGTCAATGATTTTGACTCTGGTTATGTACATACTTGTGACAAGTGAAAAGTAAGAAGAATATTTTTTCATGACCTAAATTTGCCATATTTTCTAGTAATTTTAAACATTAGTATCAAATTCAATTCTTAATTCAGAGAGAGGCAGATGCATTATGAGAAGCAACGAGCAACACAGGCTTATATTGAAGAATTCATGAAAGCTCGTCATGAATGGAAAATATTGGAGAAGGAAAGAATGGAGGAAGAGAACAAGAAGATTATGGCATTTGCCAATCTACAACAGCAGAGAGAGGAGGCAAGGCAGGAGGAGAAGAAACAGAGGGAAGAGGCTATGGCTAAAGTACAGGCTAAGGTAAATATAAGACCTATGACAATGTTCATGTTGTTTTGCTTTTTATTTTAAAATATTTTTATTATTATTATTATGCATAATAGATTGATATTATATTTAATTGTTTCATTTGTTTCTCTGAAAAAAATTGAAGTTTAAAATCAAAAGAAGCAAACAATATAATAATTCAACATATATTAGAATACAAAATACAGGTAAAAGTATTTTGATAATATGGGCCATGTTTGTGTAATTCCATATATTCTCATTTTACAGCTGGCTAACCAAATCGCAGAAGAAGAACGTCTGCGTGATGAAATGGAAAGAGTTCGGGAAGAACTGTACTTCGAAGAGCAAGAAGAAGCAGAAAGACAAAAAGAAAAGGTAATTTATTAACACAGCAATGGTTTTTCTATTATGAATTCTGAATTCTGAATGTTTGAACTTTATTTACCTTTGCTAAGTTCATATTTTGGGGAAAATGTCCAATCTCTTCATAACCAGAATAATATCTTAGTTTGTGTCTGGTGTGGAAGAGTTATTTTTAAATAATATATAGGCACACGTTGTGGGATTGCCTGAAATTTAATAACTTTATTTCTTTTTAAGGCTGCGATTGAGCGACAACTGCGTGAAAGACTGGAGCTTCAGAGACAACACGCTGAGCAGATGAGGTACAAAGCCATGCGTCAGCAGGCAGAGAAAGAGGAAGAAGATGAGTTCAGAAGACAGGTATGGAAGACAAATTTTCATCAGTACAGAAAACTGATACCAGTTTTTCAGTCCTTATTATACTTTAACGATTAACTGTTGCATTAAAAAAAATAAATTGATGTTATGAAGCATTTAGCATTTGAAGTTTACAACAAAACTTTAACAAGTACAGTGTACAAATTTTCAATAGTAAATACTCTGTTTTATATCTGGTGCCTCAAATTCTTATTTCTGTTATTCTAAATTTCAGATGTTGGCCAAATTTGCAGAGGATGACCGAATAGAGCAGATGAATGCTCAGAAACGTCGCATGAAGCAGTTAGAACACAAGCGTGCTGTAGAACAGTTGATTGAGGACAGAAGGAAGCAGTTCTCAGCAGACAGAGTAAGTATCTCATATTTTCCCCGTGTTCTGGATTGAAATCATGATTTAAGGAGCCAAAGGAGGTTTTGACATCAAAATTGAAAACTAATTCAAGAAACAGAACTTTTTTTTTAATATGACAATCTGCATGAAGGAGAAATATATAATTTTCTTCAGTATTTTTGGCATAATTCTTCGGTGCATTAGACAACTCTTGCAGGAGGTATGGCACAATTGTTAAATTCTGTTGACTTATTTTCTTCTAGGAAAGGGAATTGGAAGAGCGCAGGTTGGAGGAACAGATGGAGGCATTCCGCAAACAGATCATCGAGGAGGAGAGACAGAAGTTGTTGCGAGAGCATGCCATACGTTTACTGGGCTACCTGCCAAAGGGTGTCATCAGAGATACAGGTGACTTGGCCATGCTGGGCTCAGATTTCCAGGAGCAGTACAAGAAACGCCAGATTGACCCATTTGATGATGAGGCATGGGAGGCTGGGGCAGGGTCTCAGTCTAGGAAGTAATCTTTCATTTCCTCTGTTTTCTGATAGTCTGTGATCTGGAACATTCCTCAGATGTCATGACATTGGGACTGGTTATTATGGAATAAGTTGTTACAGAGACAGCACCAGTTCTAATTACAAGGTGTAATGTCTTTGGATATCTGGCATGTTCAATGTGAATTTAGCTTGCCCTATGATAGGGATGTGCATGGTATTGGTCTGTCCATTGTAAGAGTATGGTAAAGATTTATACACAAGAAACATTTGTTTTTATACTGCTACCCGTCCAAGAGATAAACAGCCAGATTTGTATTGAATCCCAAATGAATATTTATACAGTTGTAAATAAATTGTTTATTATGATTCGTATTGGTGGGTAAAATTGATCAGATATTTGCTCCGTGAAAAAAAATCCTTTAATGATTGTCCAGTAAGCATTGTATATTTTGTATAAAAACCGTGAGTAAAAAAATGAAAAATAAAAAAATCTTTACACAAGTTACTTTTCATTCTTACATTCTTTTTTGTGCTTAGAAAGTTTCATATCTTGCTGTAAAAAAAAAAAATGAGGATGCTTTGGGTAGATGAGAACACATCAAACATGCAATTACAAAATTTTTTACTATGCCCCTTTTAGTTGTTGGTTAACAGCTCTGCTGCATCGGGTTTTTTTTCCTAAAAGAATACTGTATTGCGAACATTAGCCAGTAAAACAGTTTTTAATATTTAATTACAAGCAGCATGAAAAAATTAAATAAGAGCTGTACTTTAGTAAGTTAAGACAAAGTCTGAGGTGTATAATCTGTCATAACAAGTTTGTCAACTTTTATTATTACTCAGAATTAGACATACATATATCAAAAAGTTAAACCAGATATCTTGAAATGGTGAGTACTGACATAAATTTTGTTAAATTCTCATTCAACAGGTAAACTTGATATACATAGATTTGGAACCTATTTTAATTCACATTTCAAATTTCCTTTAATATCATTTGTCTTTTAAAAAACCAAAATTCAAATTTCATAAAGTTCTTGACTTGACAAGGAGAGTTTCCTTCTTAATTTGTATACAATCTAATGTCCTTTATTGCTTTTGTGCATTCTGCTGGGGTTGAACAATCTGTGGTTGTTGTTGCAGTGACTGTTGTGATTGCTGGGGTTGTTGTTGTTGTTGTTGCTGTTGTGTGGGTTGTTGTTGTTGTTGCTGTATATGCTGAGCCTGCTGTTGTGAATTCTGCAACAATTGCTGGGTCAGTGTTGGAGCCGTCTGTTGGGGTTGAGTTTGGATCCGTGTCACTTGGATAATGTGAGGCACTTGTTGGGTGGTTTTAATTTGCACTTGTTGTTGCTGTTGTTGAGAACTGACTTGTGATACAACTGTGGGTAGCTGTTGTACTTTCACTGGTTGTAATGTGGTTGTTGGGATTGTTTTCACTGCTTGCTGCTGTTGTTGTTGCAGCTTTTGCTGTAATGCCAAAGAGGCTTGCTGTGCCTGCAGAGCATTCTGGACAATCTTCTGTTGCTGTAACTTTTGCTGTAACTGTTGCTGCTGCAGTTGCTTTTGTTGCTGCTGTTGCTGGATTTGCTGCTGTTGGACCTGCTGTTGCAATTTTTGTCTTTTCTTTTGTTCTAAAGAAACATCAACCGGTTTCTTATCTCCCTGTTCTAACTGTTTCTTATAAGCTTCTCGAAGTATTTGAAATGCCTGCAAATTTGCATAAGGTGTCTGTGTTATAGGATCAAAATACTTGGCAGAGAGTCTAGTGACAGGGCAGTACTGCTTCACAGGTGTTTTACACTTTTTATGATGAAACACATCCTTGAAGAATTTCTCATCTGTGAATGTTATGAAGGTTCTGGAACATTTCTCATTTCCATCCTTTTGGTTTTCAGTGGCGATACTGTCTGGTTTTGGAGATTCACTGTAAATAAAAAATATTGAAAAACAACATCAACACTAAGTTTTTTAAGAAAGGAGATATTGCATACAAACTACAAAAATAATACTGTATAAAATTATGCGAATTAAAAAAAAATTAAGAGTGGGTGCCATCATTTATATGCAGCTTATGACCTTTTTGAAACTATTATTGACAAAATAGTTTTCTTGGCATCTTCAATTTATTGTCTTTACCTCAAAAAGCAGCAATCTCTGATTTACAATCCATCTAGCTATCAATTAGTAAATTTCAAATAGATCAGTTTAAGACAAATGCAATGTCAATCATTTTTTTATAAAATGTTTATGTAACTTTCCTTTTTCATAAGTGTCATTCTAACAATTTTTGTAAAAATTTATCAGTAATTCTCTACCATGTTTTTCACTTTTAAACTTCTCACTTATCCTAAGCTTCATCCATAATGATGGTGGACATTATGTCATGGAAATACTGCCAGGGTTATAAAGGGGCATACAACTTACACATCTCTATCCACTACTACATTCTCTGAGGGCAGTTCTTCTATCATTGGCATGGTCAGAGAGTGATACCGTATCACAGGCCCCTTATAAGCTTGCTTCTGGGCACGAGCTTTCTTTTTCTCAAGCTCCATCTTCTGGTAAGTTTCTGTTAAGAAAAAGAAACTAACATAAAAATTTTCCCCACTTTAAAAACAATAGAAGAAAATATGTGTAGTATTAGTAAATGTATTGTTTTTAAAATAGATCAGACCATCACAAATTCAAATATTTTCCATATTTTTCAATCTTGACACATATGAATGTGAAGAATGTCATTTCTTTCAGCAAATCGATATATATTTTCAGGAGTCTTACCTAGGGCCCTTAAGTTAATTTTCTCAGTTACTTTGGCCTCAGCAAGGAGCTCTTCCTGAGTGAGTCTCCTGACCTCTGATACATTCTTCTTGGCAGCTATTTCTTTCATAAGCTTTGTGCGAGCCTCTCTTGCCTTTTCACGAGCCTCCACTGCCTTGGATTTAATAGCTGTGCTTCTTCGCAAGGACTTCTTATCTGTAAACAAAAAGGTAAATAAAATATCTGACATGAAATCAAAGTTTTATATAGATGAGAGTCCAAATTTTACACGGTAACCAATATAGGTATGGTCACAGACAGACGGACAAACAGACAGATAGAGGTAGAAGTTTCAACTATCACTACCACTGACAACACTCACCAATAGCTGTGTGATAAATCTGTACTGAGGATCTATCAGGTTGAGATTTTTCCTTTTTTTCCTTCGGTTTCTTCTCTTTGGGCTTGGTTGGTTCCTAAATGGATGATTCAAATGAAAATATTAAGATACAATATGGTAGAGCATAAAAGACTTATTTACTAGATAATTAAATAAAAAATAGAAACAAACAAGGCAGCAAAGCTGTCAAATGTACAGACAAAAAGCAGACAATAACAATGCACAAAACAGGCTACTGTCAATTCTGATGCAAAAGTACATTATGCTTAACTGCAAATTCAACATCAAATTTTAATTATGCTCAACAGGTAATACCAATGTAAGTGAAATGTGTAACAAGCGTAAGGCTTCAGGCCCATGGGAGTTTAAGTTCNAGTAAGATTAATTACTCCTGTGAGTTTCATGACAACAGGCCTATCGGTTTTCCTTGAAATGTGTTAACAGTGTTGCATATATGCTAAAAAGTGAAAACACAGCATAAATACTACAATAATTGCCCAAACATGCTGATTTTCGAACTTGACCTGCGTTTTATGAATATTCATCAGCTCTGTAAATATAAAGCCAAAAAGTAAAACTGTCTTCCACTTATCGTGTTAACGATGAAAGTGCACGGCGACGGCGACGGCGACATCGACGGCGACGGCGACGACAGACGCAGGTGATGGCAATATGTACAGACACATCTGTGTCTGTACATAAAAAGTAATGTATACTGTTCCCCTGTTAAGTATTTTTAAGGAGCTGGTATTCACTCCCAGTCTAAGTTTCCACTAGTGATATTTTGTAAGGACATGTACCGTCTGTAATCAAAATGTAAGTGAAGAACCCTGCCATTTCTTGCCTTATAAGCTTTGGTGATCACTCCCCTCTTTGCTGACTTTCTCTTTGGTTCATCATCTTCCATGTCACTCCTAACTTCATCATCCTCATCAATGCTGAAATCTGAATCCACAGTGTCTGAGGAGGACACCTCCTCATCACTGCTATCAAAATCTTGATCATTGGCTTCCTGGAATTACATAAACTGCTACATTGAAATACTGCACTATTTTAACTTAAAAAGCACCTATTAATTGTTTACAATGACAAGACATGCAAACTTAGCCACTTTGTCCTTATAATAATTTTATGACTACAACACATTTGTTTAGCACATTAAATAATATCTACTTTTGGTGTTGCTGTAGAAATGTACTGACTTATGACTTTAAAATGAATAACTAGTGACTATAAAATGAATAACTAATGAAGTCCATTCTTATACCTCTTGAAATCCCCCATATGTTGTTTGGTAAAATTCCTCATCTTCAAGGTTTTCTAGCAGTGATGCCATCTTGGCTCCAGCATTGCCACGCTTCTCTCTAGTTGTTGCTAAGCTTGCCATCCTTTTTATTAGATGTCTCTGTAAAAGAAATTAACATTGTAACTGCATGTACTAATACTAATGACTACTAGTAAAGCCTGATATATTCATACAACTTTGTACAGATCCTGGCTTCAGGAGATCGTCAGAATCCCATGAAAGCTTGACGAGTTAAACATCACACTCACAGCCTTCACTTACATCAGTTTCGGCCTTACCTGCAAGGTACTAACCACAGCATTTTTTAAGGCCGAAATTTCGAAAAACGGGTAGTTTTCACAAGTCTTGCCAAGTTTTTGGAGTGCAAGAGCTAATAGGGAAGTTCTACTAGAACTGTTTTTTAATTGAAATGAGTATAATTGTGTCGCTTATGGTGAAATATTATCATCTTTATCTGATTTCAGTTGAAAGACTTTTAAAACAAGATAAACTTACTTGTCGAGCTAAAGAAAGCGTGATTTCCCTCCACCGGAACTAGTAGCTTGCTCAGATAGAATTGTGGGTAAATCCAGTCTCATCTTTGCTCTCCAATATGGAGCCTCGATTTAAATCAAGGTGAATTTTAGTCATTTGTGTTTCTTTTCTAAGAAACGAGACCCATGGAAAAACGAAAGGAAGATGACAGATGGAAAAAGCTTGTTGATATTTCTCCTCCATGTCACCGTAATTTCCACTGTTGACTCCAAGAAAAACATTTTGCTTATCATTGGTGAGTTAATCAGTCACCAATTAAATGTGGTAATTGAAGTGACAATTTCACATACAAATAAATGACAGGCATGAATATTGTTGTCAGTCTGAACCAGCAGACTGCATGAAGACTTGCCCCCAAACCAGAATGAATAATCTATAAAATTAATTTCAGCTGATGATGCAGGCTTTGAGTCACAAATCTACAACAACACAGTATGCAAGACTCCCAACCTAAACCGCCTAGCCCAACGAAGTGTGATCTTCCAAAAAGCTTTCACTTCTGTGAGCAGTTGTTCACCAAGCAGGTACTAGTACAAGTGTTTAATACCGATATATTATTGTACAAATATTTTACGCTGTATTTGATGCCCCAGCAGAACTTAATAGTCCTCTGCATTGTGAACTTACTATAATTAACTCTCTCTCTCACACACACACACACGCACACACTCTTTATACATGTACCCTGTATATGAAATTTATAATAAAACTATGTAAACATTGTTTTGTACTGTGCTAGGTCTTCCATATTGACTGGACTTCCACAGCATCAAAATGGCATGTATGGCCTTCAGCATGGTGTCCACCACTTCCACTCCTTTGATGGAGTGAAGAGTCTGCCTCTGATCTTAAGGCAGTCTGGGATAAGAACAGGTAAAAACTTATGTATTTTGTGCAAGTGTATTAAACACAAAGTACTAGTATACAATATTCTCAAGTAAAAAGCTTGGTCTTGATCATTTTAGCTCAGTAGATTTAAGCCAAGTGCTAATCATCCTCTATACTGTATTTGCCAACTAAACTTTACTTTTTTATATATTTTTATACATAAGTATTTTTTATACATTATATCTAGTACTTTGAATTTACAGGCATTAATATATAAAATATTAAGCGAAGGTGTACATGTACATGTTCTGACATTAAAAGATTTTTGTCACAATTTTAGGTATCATTGGAAAGAAACATGTTGCTCCAGAATCAGTTTATCCCTTCGATTTTGAGAGAACAGAAATGAACAACAGCATCAACCAGGTGGGGAGGAACATCACACACATCAAACTCCTTGTGAGAGAGTTTCTTACTCAGAAGGATGACAGGTTGGTGAGTCCTGAGTATGGAAGTAAACGAAATGTCTTTATTATGATTTAATTCATCTACATGCACCTTCCCCTTTTATTTAGTTAACAAGTCAGTAAAAGATAGTTAACAGGTGAGGTGCCATTGCTTACTTGTTCTCTTTGCCTTGGGATATGAAGTGAAGAAGATATCTGTTAGAAGGGAAACGTCAGAGATTGTCTTTTAAAACTTTAGCCAAATTCTCATTGTTTCGACTCAGAAATATTACAATTTATTGGCTGAAACCGAATTTACCATGGAATGTCTTTTTGCAATCAAAGGCATTCTTTTCAAAAAAAGAAAAAAACTGTAAGTATGTTCACAAGATAGTGGCATAAACAAATTGCTGATCTGTAAAGAAAAATTGTTTATCTTTTGTCTCCAGACCTTTCTTCCTATACATTGGTTTCCATGATCCACATCGTTGTGGTCACACTAGTCCCCAGTTTGGACCATTCTGTGAGAAGTATGGCAATGGTCAAGCAGGCATGGGTGTCATTCCAGACTGGACTCCTGTCAAGTATGACCCTGACCAAGTCATTGTCCCTCCCTTCGTACAAGACACCCCAGCTGCCAGGCAGGACATAGCTGCCCAGTACACCACCATTAGTAGGATGGACCAAGGTCAGTTGACAGCTGTATTAAAATATTCATGTAATTAGAAAGGGAAATGTAAACCTATGTTTGATGTCTTATTTAGGAATGATAAGCAAAAGTACTTGTGCACTAGGACTAGTCTGCACAGTATAGGATAACGTTATAACTATTTAGAGAAGCACTTTTATTTTTAAATAAGGTATTGGTTTTATCATGAAGGAGCTGACGTCTGCTCTAATTTTTAAATTTGGCTTTCATTACATGTGCAATAAATGCGGTTGTCATCGGACAAATTTTGAACATCATACTTGTTTGTCCTTTATTGATTCTTTTTTCAATTTCTAGTGATTAAGTATAGATTGAGGAGACATTAAGAATAATATTACTACTTTTTGAATACCACTTTTATTTTAAAAAATTAGGTATTGGTCTTATCATGAAGGAGCTGACATCTGCTGGATTTGGTGATAACACATTGGTAATATACAGCTCAGATAATGGCATCCCATTTCCCAATGGCAGGACCAATCTGTATGACTCTGGCATGACGGAACCCATGCTGGTGTCTTCACCACATCATAGCAGGAGATGGGGACAGGTAAGTGAATAAGATAGAAAATTACTTCATGAATTTTAAATTGACAAATGTTCTTACTATGTGCAGCCTAATGTTTAAGACCACAGGGGACAATTATTTATGTCCAATTGTGTGAGAAAAATGTATTCTATGGTTGGTATCTTATGACTTGAAAATGATGCTAACTACATGTAAACTGTAATGCTCTTAAAAACATCAGTACAGTTTGAGATGATGCATGCAAGATTTACCAGTGGATTTCGTATAGATTCACACAAATTAATAATAAAACTTTTGAGTACATTTAATACATTTTTGATTAAATGGGACAAAGTGAAGAAGTTATTGACCTCCTAAAAATTTACCTCCAGGTTTCAGAGGCAATGGTCAGCCTGACAGATATAGTCCCCACAACACTAGACTGGTATGGTCTCCAATACCCAAATTACAGTATATTCCACCACAAAGAAAGGACCCAGCTGACTGGACAGTCTCTGCTCCCGGTGATGGAGGCTGAACCAATCAAGGGCTGGGACACAGTGTATGCTAGTCACAACTTACACGAAGTGACCATGTATTATCCAATGCGAGTGATAAGAAATAGAAACTACAAACTAATTCATAATATAAATTACAAGATGCCTTTTCCGATAGATCAGGATTTTTATGTTTCTCCATCATTTCAAGATTTATTAAACAGGACTAGGGTGGGTAAGGATACCCACTGGTTTAAGTCATTAAAACAGTATTACTACAGAGCTGAATGGGAGCTTTACAACATTGTGAATGATCCAAGAGAGTTGCACAACTTGGCCAAAGATCCACAGACTTCTTCAGTATTTAAAGAAATGAGACATCAGTTGTCCTGGTGGCAGAACCAGACAGCAGATCCCTGGATATGTGCCCCACACGGTGTGTTAGAAGACAGTGGACATTATCAATCCGCCCCTCAGTGTTTATCACTGGATAATGGACTGTAGACTCATTAGACTTAACTGGTTTATTTACAGTCAGCATTCATGCCACTGTATTTATTGTATTATATTTTATTAGAACTTTTTTGAACTGTTTTAAGATAAATTTTATATTACTGAAATCAAAAGGACTCCTCAGGATTTTTTTAAACAGAAAACAAGGCAGCAAAGCTGTCAAATGTACAGACACAAAGCAGAAAAAGATGTTGCTAGTGCAGAATGCAGTTTTTATGTATACGTATACATATTCATATATATGTCAAAATTTATACTATTGCATTTATTGTATTATATATTTATATCATATCATAAACCCCATCTTAGCACAAATTTAAAAGAAACCATATACAACTATTTCAAGATAACTAATAGTGACTCAAACTTATTCTAGGATTTATTACAGATAAAAAAGCATTTGTAGTTGCAAAATTTTCATACTATGCAAACATAAAGAGATTATTGAAAATAAATATTGACAGAACAGATCTTTTTACAACAGTCTGTACTGCAATATGTACCATTACACAATAATTGTACAACATTCTTGCTGAAAAAGTGACAAAGATTGATGGAATCTATTCTGCTACTTTAGTATGTACATTTGAGCAATATTATGCTTGAAGACTACAATATTATGCTTGAAGTTTGAAGACTACATTAACATGCCACATGGACTGTACACTGTACGACAAATGTGTTCACACAGTTGTGTGAATGGTTTGTTGATTGCATTAACTCTCACAGGGGCAACGTCTGGGCATGGGTTTTGCCAAGTGGCAGGCATATGAGTTTCTCCAATGTTTGTCTTTTAGTCCGGGATCCCAGAGGGTTGAGTATGCCCGGAAAGATCACCAATTTTCATGTTCCTGGCAATGACCTACATGGTTACCTATATATGAAAATGGGAGTCTGCCGTGTTTCCGGTGGTGGGTGTGGTCAGGGGGGTCCAAAACATAGACCCCTCAAATCCAGCTAGCAGGACTTTTTAGGGGAACCCTAAGAAACCCATTGGGGGTCCTCCAGCATGGCCTCAGGTATTCCAAACGGATACTGACAGACAAATTGAGTGGTGGGGTGTGGCCGGCAGACCCTGATTTATAGGGGGTGGAAATCCGGCTAGCAGGACCTAAAAGTTAACCCTTATAAAATAACTGGAAAATGTTCCTTAGAGTCCCAGGGAGGTAAAATGACCAACGACAGACAATTTAAGTGGTGGGTAGTGCCCGGCAGACACACCCAAAGAGCCACACCCCTAATGTACAGCTAGCTTGCCCTAAAAGTTAACCCTTAGAAAATAACTGGAAAATGTTCTTTAGAGTCCCAGGAAGATAAAATGACCAACGACAGACAATTTAAGTGGTGGGTAGTGCCCGGCAGACACACCCAAAGAGCCACACCCCTAATGTACAGCTAGCATGCCCCAAAAGTTAACCCTGAAAAAAGAACTGGAAAATGTTCCTTAGAGTCCCAGGAAGATAAAATGACCAACGACAGACAATTTACATGGTGGGTAGTGGCCGGCAGACACGCCCAAAGAGCCACACCCTAATGTACAGCTAGCGGTACCAGTAATGTAACTCTTTCAAAACAAGCTGGACAATGTTCAGAAGAGTTCTAGGATATAGTACTGACCACTGCTAGACAAATTTAGTGGTGGGTACTACCCAGCAGACACACCCAAATGCCACACCCCTGATGGTTATAGGTGGCTCGTGTGCAAAAGTATATCGGCTTTTAAGCAAGCATTGTAACATAAAAGAAGAGGACAATTGCAAAATCTACACCGTTTGGATATTCGTATCCTTAAGAAAGGTAAGTATGAATAACCTAATTATTTGTCAAATCATTCTATTTAATTATAATTAAACTTATACATCTACTAACCCTGTCGGGGTAGAAGTTTAAAAAGGCCTGATACAATGATCATAACATTTTTGTCAATGTCAGCTTAGTTCAGCTTTGTTTATGTAATGTGACACGGGTCAGAGACAAGCCAGCTGATGAGAATTCCGAGAATTTCAGCTTGACCCACTTTGAGTGGTAATTAAAGAATCATCAAACACTTATCAAGGTTAGAAACAGAAGGGTAGAGGCAATTCTAGCCCTTAAAACAATCCATGTATTTATGGAGTCAAAAGTATTCATCTAAGATTACTTTCACATAAACCAGATAGCCAAGGATATCAGGCAACCAAGGTAAAAATATTTTTCTTATATTAAAGGCTTATATTTATGAAAACAAGATTGAAATTTGCCAACCTCTTTGTATTGAAAATGCCACATGGCTTGAACTTATCTTGTCCCCATCGGCAATTGTTACATAGAATTTCTATATAACTTAACATGCAGATGAACAAGTTAAAAATGAATAAAATATTGTTAATTGCAGCATCATTATATAAAAGTCCAGACAAAATGTGACAGAATGTTTCACATATTTTTCCAGATAAAGAAGTTATAAATTTCATAATGGAATCTGAAGAAAGATCTTTAGGTTCTGAAAATGAAAGCACACAAGAGCTTATGTTTGGTGCACAACTTAACATGCCTGTTGATAGTAATATGGAGGTATGTGTTTTTAGTTTCATCTTTTCTACATTAAATAGTCAAAACAAGTGATCATTCATGATGTTCATTAATGTTATTATGAAGATGTAAACAAACAATTTGGTATAATGTTTTCTAAAAATTAATAATATCTGTATTTTTTCAGTAGCAATATGTTTTTTTTTTGTTTCTATAGAAAATTTTCTTTATCACATTTCAGAAAACTGATGACATGCATTCTCAACCGAAATGCATTTTTTGTTCTCAAGACAAAGAGGAGGATGACAAAATGAAAATGTCGAATGACCAGACATTTTTAAGCATTGAGAGAGCTGCAAACTCACACAAAGAACGAAAAGCAGACATTTACCACAGAGTCACACAAAGCATTTTGGTAAGTCAGGAAACTTCTTTTCCATATCACCCATCATGCTATATACAGCAGTTAAGAGACCCAAAGAACCACTACCCTCTTCGGAGCCTCCCAACAAAACAGCACACATTGAGACAAGAAGCTTGAGTACAATGCCAAAATCAGATGACCAGGGTCTTCTAAAAGGCACATGCATTTTTTGTGGAAAGGCACGTAAAAAGAGAAGGGGAAAAGAAGAACCAAGACTTAGGCTTCGTTCACATGCAATGTCTATTTTCTATTTTCTATTTTCGGTATGTCTTATGATCACGGTCTGTGCACTGAATATCCCGCCGCGTAATTACTGGCAGCGCGAGCCAGTTACTTATTGTAACTTATAGTAACTGGCTCGCGCTGCCAGTAATTACGCGGCGGGATATTCAGTGCACAGACCGTGATCATAAGACATGCCGCAAATAGAAAATAGAATTTAGAAAATAGACATTGCATGTGAACGAAGCCTTAGGATATCAACATCAGATGGATGTGAATCTATTTTACAGCGAGCCAAATTTTCTAAAAATGAAGCCTTCAAAAGCCTTGTACTAAGTGGTGTGGATCTTAGGGCAAAAGAGGCAGAATATCACAAATCATGCAGAGTCGAATTCCTACGAGAGACTGATTGTTTTGAAAAGACTGCTGCTATAAGTGCACCTCAGGCATTCCATAAGAAAGCATTTGATTGTATCAAGTATTATATTGAAAATGAAGTTGTGCTCAAAGAAACCCCTTTATTGATTAGTCATTTACTAACACTGTACATAGAAGAATATATCACTGCAGGAGGAGAAGGAGGAGACATTGAAGACTATGCCATGCGACATCTGACAAGAAAGATAAAAGAACAGCTGAGTGACAAGGTGTTAGTAAAATTAGCAGATCAACGCAGTGGTAACTTTGTCTTCAGTAATGATATGACAGAAGAAGAGGCAAGGGTTCGTTTGTATACAAACTCCGAGAAGAATGAAGAAGATGTGAGTTAAAATGGGCAGCACTACACTTAAGATCACTTGTTACGCAACTCCCCAAAAGTAAGACCCCACATCCAGCTACAGTACAGAACCTAAAAGAATGTTCCCCACAGATACCTGACCAGCTACATTTATTTTTCAGATTTCTCCTTGGTGGCACATATGAACAAAACAATAGGGAAGTGCTGGACAGGAAAGTAAATGCCTTGGCCTCTGATGTTATCTTTAATGTGTCGAGGGCCACTGTAAAGCCTTGGAAACATGTAGCTATGGGTCTTGGATTTTTATCTTAAACTGGGTCTAAACTAGCAATCCAGATCCTCAATAGGTTGGGCCACTCTATTAGTTACATTGAGGCAAAGGGCCTGGAAACGGAATTCGCATACTCTGTCCAGGTTGAAGGCAGTGACGCCCCATACGGAATCCAACTGAAACCTAATCTTGCGACAGCTAGTGTCTGGGACAACAATGATGCTCATGTGGAAACCTTAGACGGTAAGGAGACCCTACATGCCACTGTGGGACATACCTACCAAAATATCCTTCAAGATGGCAATTTCCAAAGCACTAGCATAATGAATTTTAGAGAAGGGAGAACCAGGCGCAATTTTGAAGGTTATCAGCATAATATCCAACCATATAGAAAGCCCCTTAACAGAGCCCAGTTTATTCTCTCTCCATCCAGTACAAATCCCTGGACACAAACCAATATTCAGCCCTCCTTACCCCACTCGATTTCCTATGGTTCTGGAAGCTCGGTGAGAACAGTGGAGTACCTCTAAATGCAGGATTCATGAGCAGTTTCATCACAGATCCCTTGCCAGTGCAAAAAATATGCTACATGGATCCTATACTTAAGTCCCCTACAAACAACGATGTGGTGAGGGAAACAATGCTGAGAACAATGAATATTGCAAAAGAAACTGGCCAAGATTATGCTGTGGTCACATATGACTTGGCAATTGCTTTAAAGGCGTACTCTATCCAGTCCCTTGATGCACCATTATTTGACAAGCTGCTGATTATGCTTGGCAACTTCCACACTGAGCTTGCATTTTATGGAGCAGTGGGAACCTACATCAATGACAGTGGCATTGAGTTCATCCTCTCGGAGTGTGATATCTTGGCAGAGGGGTCCATGATGGGGTTCATAAAGGGCAAATTTTATAACCGCTGTTCTAGAATCCATGAATTATTAGCCACTACCTTAGAAAAGAAGCTCTACAACTGCTTTTTGGTAGACATTCCAGATGAAGAAAAGCATGAAATACAATCTTTGATGTCTTCAGTGCCTTCAGACCCAGCCTCAGTAGAAGAATACCTTGATACACCAGCAGTTCACTTCCATTTGCAATCTTATGAAGCTTTCTTTCAAGCAGTGCTCAGGGGATCTCTCGGTGCTACAGCTCAGTATTGGGGAATATGCATCTTTCTCATCAATCGCCTCCACAGGGATCTACAAAGATGTGTAAAAACCAATGATGTCAATGGCTACCTTTATGTTTTGCCTACAGTCCTGGAGGTTTTCTTTGCTCTTAACCGTCCAAACTATGCCAGATGGGGATCACTTTTCCTTCAGAAGCTCAAGAGTGCAGACACGCGCCTAATTGAAATACTTGAACAGGGTGCATTTTCCATCAGACGGATAAACAAGAGCTATAGTAGATCTGCAGTTGACCTCTCCCTAGAACAAACTGTCAACCGTGATGCTGCCTCCCATATGACAGGTATTGTGGCATTTAGAAACTCAGAAAATGCCATGCGCAGATGGTCACTGACCATGACACAGAGGGCTCTTGCTGTGACAGAACTTAGAGCAATAATGGGAATGGAGCAAGGGGAAACCCCAGCATCTCAATGCAGGTCATCTAGAATAGAGAGAGACAACAGACAAATCAATTCACTGAGTACAAAGTTAGATGAATTCTGCAACCCATTTTCTGAAGATTCGCCAGGAGCTCTCATCAATGTAGCCACAGGGCAAGAAGCAACCAAAGCTACAGCAGATTACTTGTTGAATACACTAGAGAGAGGCAAGAATCAGAGAGAGAAATTCCAAGACGAATGGGAAAGTAACAGTAGAAGATTTCTTCAGCCCATTAAACGATGTCGCATCGATAACTTTGCTGCACAGAATGTCACAAAAAAACAAAAAGTATCTACTTCAGAGAGCAACCCAGAGTGCAGAAAGTGTGAGGGATATGTTCGTAAAAATTTTGATTGTAGTCGCTGAAAAGACTCACTTTGACTTACAAAATACCCTTTCATATCCACTAACACCATACCCTCTGTCCATAGCACATTGTGATGGATCCCTCGTGAAAACAGACAAAGCAGCCTTGGCAAAGCGACTGGAGACATATCAGACACAACAAATTTTAGAAGAAGATCTCCCAATACAGTTTTCACAAGCCTTTGATGGAGGGCTTGTTCTGCACACCATCCTTTCCCAGACCAATATTGGAGCTTCGTATGCTTCTATTGCTCGATGCATTCTTTCTTTTGTTTGTTCTGGGCGAGCCCAAGAGGTCCATCTCTGTTTCCATAAATACATGAAGAATTCAATCAAAGATAGTGAACGGAGCCTGCGTGGTGCCTCAGAAACCCAGTATACCATCACTGGCCCAGACCAAACCATAAGACAAAGTGGAAAGAAGCTTCTTTCAAACACTGGATTCAAGACTGCGCTTTCCAAATTTCTGCTGAACGAATGGCAGAATGACCAGTACTACAATATACTTGAAGGAAAAAGTCTATTTGTCTCCTATGGTGGCAAGTGTTTTCAGTATCAAGGCAATGGTGAACAATCCAGTTCCATAACCACCACCAGTCCACCACACCTGCAAGGCAACCATGAAGAGGCTGATACCCTCATCGCCTTCCATGCAGTGAATATTGATGGTAGTATCATTGTACGAGCTTCAGATACTGATATACTCGTTATATTGATTGGTATCATTGGGCAACACAGAGACAACATAGGTAACATCATCATGGACAGTGGCATGGGAAACAATAGAAGATACATCAATGTAACCAACATTGCTGATGTCCTTGAAGATCGCAAAAGTGGATTATCAAGGGCATTGCTTGGATATCATGCCTTTACTGGCTGTGATTTTACCTCTGCATTTTACAGGTATGGCATTTTTTAAATTATCTTTTCATGTTTTTATGTGTGAACTTTTATAATTACAGCGATATTGCAATTTTTTCTCATTCCAAACTTGATATTGTTTATTATTTAATGTTTGTGTATATTTAGTACATAATGAATATAATCTTCACCTATACTTGTGTTGTTTTGCCTAAATGTCTATCAGTATACATATTTTTTTAAGAAAGGGGAAAACAAAGTTTCTGAACTGGCTAGAAAGTCATGAAGATAGCAGTAGACGGTTTGTGGATTTCTTCATTAGTATGGGGATACCTCTGGCCATGGTGGATGCTGATATTGCTTCAGAGTTTGTTTGCCTTATGTACTCCCAAGGCAAAGTGCGTGATGTTAATGAAGCTAGACACCAGCGACTTATTCAAATGACAGGAAAGTTTGATCAGGTACCTAAGAATAATTTAATTTTTAATTTGCACAAATTGAATACAGTATCTAATACAAGAAATGCCAAAACAAATACAATATTGCCTCTATATGATTTTTTTTTTTTTTTGAATTACAGCACAGTCCACTTGCAAACATCCAAAAGATTGACTGTGCCCTATTACCACCATGTTGCCGTACCCTTGAGATGAAAATTTGTAGGGCTCAGTACGTTACCTCAATTTGGACACGTGCTGCAACAGCCAATCCTAGCGAGGGAATGATGCCTGTAGACTATGGATGGGCTGTTGATACAAGTGATAACCTGTTGAAGCCGGTGTGGTTTGAGGGATCAGCTATTCCAGATGATATGTTTGCGGATAGAGATCATATTTTAGATGATTCTAGTCTAGATGAAGATGACATTGTGTCAAGTGAAGAAGAAATGACTGACAGAGATCCTACATCAGATACAGAGAGCGAAGCATGGAGTGAGGAATCAGACTCAGAATTTGATGAGTGAAACATTTGTTTTTTCCATTTTTCACCCACTTATAATTTTTAAGGGTGGATTTGAACTCTACAATGGGTGTTGTTTTTTTGGATGTCAACATGCATAATCAGTAGAAATAATAAAATGTGTTTGATAATGATGCAATAAAGCGATGTAATTGTATACCAAATTGACAAGAACTTATTACATTAAAATTTCACAAGAAAATGAAAATACCCATTATTCTTCAACTTGTAAAAATTATTAAAATATTGAATTATATACCACACCTATTTTCGGGCTCAATTTTTTTCATGTCTTTGTTTGTTTAATGTGCCAAATTGATGTGGTCATGATATTGTTTAATTTTTTTGTCATTTCTGTATGCATTTGTAAGTTAAATAACAATGTTCAAATAAAAATGTATCTTTATGAATAGATTATTATTTACAAGCATAGAACTATTTGAATTACTTTTAATTTCAGCTAAAAACTATCTCGAAAAGATTTTTCTTTTTGTTCTGTGGAATGTTATCAATGGAATGTTATACAGTCAGTTATACAGTCAGGGTTCACCTGGGACATCATTTATGTGGTGACCTTGCCACATAAGTCATAATGGCAGACTGGAGCATTGACGATCTCTGAGCATCCTCTTCCCTCATTCGAATAAGTTCCTTGTCTTTTTCTCTGACTTTTTCTTGCAAACTCTCAATTTCTCTTTCCTTATCATGGATGAGTTCCCTGTGCTTTCCTGTTTGCTCTGAAGATAAAATGTAATGCCAATTTCATGTCATTGCTGTTAGATAGAAAGCCATTTTATGTAAAAAAAAAACTTGCTGTCAATTATCCAAAGCATTTTTAATGGTAATACAGTACATATTTAACAAAATAATACAGTTAAGGGAGAGAAGTGTCACAGAGATTAACATACCTGAGATTTGCCTCTTCAGTCTTCCTATTTCTTCTTTCAATTCATTCTGAGCTTGCCTTTCAGTTTCTAATTGAGCCATTTTCTGTTTAACTTCCAGTTTTACTTTCCCAACTTCAGCCATCATCTCATTGTTCTTCCCAGACAATTCCTAGATTAGAAAACAATAACTAGTAGAATATAGCAATTCAATTATAACAAAACTTTCATAACAAATACAAAATCAATAATTAAGTAACACATATGCACACATTAATTTTCTTTGATTCATTATTATAATTGAATTGCCAAGAAAGCCTATTCACCCTAAGTGTCAGAGTAAACTGGAAACTGATATTTTAAATCACAGTGACTCCTGCCATTTTCAGTAACTGTTATAAGCAACCCCAAGAGACATGCTGCTTACAGAGGTCACTCAGGGTGTTCTTACTGTGTTCTGTGCATCAATCCTTCTCTTGTGTGTCTCAAGTTCTAGCTCCATGCTGCTGTTCTTCCCTTGAAGCTCTAATATCAGGGCCTTCTGGTGGTTACTATGAGACTGCAGCTCATCCTTGGACTGTTGCAGGATACGCATTCTGTCTTCCAGCTGCTTCTGATGTTGCTCCTAATGGGGTGAAACAACTTTTAACACCTGAATATACACATATCTGTAAGATTGAGGATATAGTTTCTAAGAGACAAATGATGTGTTAATAAAAGTTACGTATATCAAACTTGTATCAAAATGCATTTTAATTCAAACTTAATAATACATATCTTTAATTAATTCAAGCAAACAAAAAAAAAGCACATTATTTAAAATGTTCTTTTACAAGTTAATTTGACTAGTATTTGTCTGAGATTCAACATGAGTAAGTTGGCCTAGAGCTTCCACCCACCTCATCAGACCTTATTTTCTGCTTAACTGTGGCCAATTCCTCCTCAGCTTTGATCCTGTCAGCCGCTGCCTGAGATTTCAGCTTGCTCACTTCTTCTTCCAACTCCAAACGCTGCCTCTCTAGTTTGTTGATTCTTTCTCTCAGCTGCTTCTCAGTGTCATCAAAGTCTTGCTGTAGCTTGGCAATCTGATATAGAAGTTAAAAATATAAAAATAAAAAATATTCTTTTTTATAACAAATGAAACTGATGTGAAGTCTTGTTCATGTCAGTATCAGTATTAAATGAAAGTGATTCAATACACTACAGTTAGACTTTTTTTTTTCATGGTGACCCATCCACATAAAAAGCCAAGTAAATGTAAAATCAATTAGCAATCTTTGGAAATGGAATAAATATCATGACACTGTAATAAATATGCTTTAAAATGAAACACCTGTCTCACCTCTCGTGTCTTGAGAGACTCCACCTCTTGTAAAATTTCTTTGTTTTTTTGCTTTTCATTATTAAATTTCTCTGCAAAGAAGAAGTAAACCATCAGACATCAGTGACAACACAAAGACAAAAGGAACTTCATTGGTAAAATAATGCTCAAAATTTACCGTACTAATTGCTTATTATGTAAAAACACTAATTATAAGAGCAAACCTTCATAATGTGCTCCTTTAAGTTTTATGTCAGCTTGTGCATGTGTCAGCTGCTCTTTAAGATCATATATCTGATCTTGTTGCTGCTTGCCCTTTCTGCTAAGTTCATCTTCCTGACAAAATAATAATGACAACAATCATGAGAAGGATTTTTCAAAATGTTAATATTTGTGCCTAGCAAGCAAAAAGAAAGCATGTTTATAGATAAATATTGTCTATTCATGTTAAATAGTGTTTGACCCTTGTTTGGGAAGCTAAGTAATTAAACAAGATTACCAATTTAAATGACTTATTCCATTCTCTAATTTTGGTCTGAAATTGAAAACTTTATCAAAACAGAACCATTAAACTATTTCAAATGTGCCATAATTTTTTAACTACTTATTATTTCAATTCACCTTAGCTTCTAGCTGCACATTTCTGTCATTAACTTCAGATAATTCCCTTAAAAGTCTGCTTTCCACAGAGGCTCTGTCCTGAAAGCAGCAGAAAGTCAATTAACAAAATATAACAAATGATACATAAGGCAAATATGAAAAATGTTCATGATGAAATGCACTGTCATATATAGGCTGACTTTTGCGTGAGGTTAAATATAAGGCCAAATATAAAAGTAGGCAGTAATTCATACAAACTGAAAAGAAGAAATTCTGGATGTTCATTACAAATAAGTACAATATGTGACAGTGATATGAAAAGGAAACATTTACAAGAAAAAAAGACAAAATATCTGAACGGTCAATGTGCCAAAGCACAATCCCCATGTAGTATTGCACATGCAATATCTTGTTATTAAGTGCACTTACCTCTCTCTCCTGCCTCAGATCACTCTGATGCCTGATGCTCAGCTCTGACTGATCCTGTTTCATCCTGGCCACAAGACCCTCTAAATCATGGGACTTTTGTTGCTCTAGAGCAAGTTCTGATTCTACCATTGATAATCTGTAATAACAAAGTAAATGCTTAATCATGGGACTTATTTTTCTGTTTTGGAACCAGTTCTGACTTAACTACAGACAGTCATCGATAACCTACAAAAAGCCAAAAATTTAAAGAAAAGTGACGGCATATAAACACAGAAAAATATCATTATGTAAATGGTGCTATCTGTTTTATAGGTAAACGTATATAACCATATGCAAATGTTAATAATGGTTTCCAAAGAGTACAAATAGAAGCTATTCTTTTTAACACGGTTTAATAGTAAAAAATGTTACTTTAAAAACCAGCTTTAACCAGTTTTAAAAAAGAAAGCATTGCCTAAGACTTACTTTGCTTTAAGTGACTTAAATGCAGCCTTCCTTTCGTCCAGTGCTGATTGCAGCTGTCCAATCTTGTGTGAAGTGGACCAGGTGGTCTTTCTCATGAAATCTTCCTGCTCATCAATTTTATCCATCAATTCACTCATCTGTAAGAATAAAATATATAGAAAATTCATTAACCATGCAAAAAAAGTATGACTATGCTGGTAAAAGTCCAAGAACATCATTTAACAGCAAGAAGAGTAACATACAAAGAAAAGTCATTACTTTGAAACAGAAAATAAATAACACCAAACAACTGACAGCATTTGCAAACACAAGTATTTGTCAATCTATTCTGATGTCACCAAGAAATATTTTTTCGTGATAACCTGCATCTTTTTCTCTTCTTTGAGTGTCCTCAGCTCACAGGATAACATGTGTGTTCGCTGATAGTAGTCATTACACATCAGTTGACGGTCTTCATTATGTCCTAAAGCTGTGTCTGGAAAAATATAAAGGTTATTACCTCGACGTCGACATGTTTCATTACATCTTACTTTTTTACTTTCAATTTTGGTTTGAGAAGAAAATAGTCAAGTTTGTCATATTATACATATAAGTATTTCCAATAATAGTCTTGAAAAATTTTCCTAAAATTTTAAAAGGCCCACTATTTCCAATTAAAATCTTGACAATGGTAATTAATACACAAAATTTCAACTGGCATCAAATAAAAAATCCTATCATGTCTTGGGAAAGAGTTGAATATAGAATATCAGTAATTTGAGAGAATTTTCAAACAAAAGAAAGCCCTGTTCATCTGTCAACAATGATATTACCAATAGATTGTAAAATATCAGTAGGAATGATGTTCCCAGCCAAGCTGAGTTTGTAAACAGTTTTGTTCCTCCTCAGTGCTTCCAGGAGAGCTCGCCCTCCGATAATACCAACACTGTTTGACCTCATATCTGAATAAAAAAAATTAATAAATTTCACCTGACATGAAAGTAACAATGTTTTCAACCCTCATAGATAATATGTAAAAAATCTGAATGTGGTCTTATTGAAAGAGTCAATATATATCTTGCAAGTTGCTCTACAAAAAAGAAAAAAAAATACATAGTTCAATTTTTACCTAATATGCCATGTCTTAGACCTTTGATATCTTCCAATTTCCATCAAGAATCTTCAAATGACATTAAGCATAGCTGAGAGAAGTACTGAATATATTATTCATCTGATCAAAAAAATAATAATAATAATGATAATGCACATTTCAGAACAAGACATAACTCATGTCTGCTCACCTATTGCCTGTAGTGTGGTATTCCTCTTCAAGGCAGAAGCCAGCTCCTGCGCCCCGTTGTGGCTAATCTGGTTGCTCCTAAGGTCAAGCTCCTTGAGGGTGGTGTTGGCAGCCAGGGCCTCACAGAATGTACCAAAGGAATTCTCTATCATGCCCATATCATTCTGTTCCAGACAGAGACTAGAGGTACAATTACAAAAATATAACCATCTCATTCTGATTAACTAAAATTAATTCATCTAAATGATACTTTATTCACTCAGATCTTTAAGTGACAAAACATTCATAAAATCATATGCAGCTCTCTTTATGTAAATTGTTAAATGGTGCTTATTTTCAAAGGAATAAGCTAGAAAATTGTTGAGCAACTATTACATGATATAAAAATATATGAACAATTGTCAAAATAAACAGAGCACTTGTGGTTAATGTACATGTAGAAGGAATGATGTGGTCATTACCTAGTTAAACTCTTATTATGGCGTAACATTCTGGCTAGAGCCTCAGTCCCAGTTCCTCTTATATTATTTCCCTACAAAAAATTTTATGTCAAAAAGTGATAAGCATTTACATAAAATATATATCTATAAAATAATTTAGTAAATAAAAACTTTAAAATCTTTTTTTTTCTTTTTTGTAAATCAGTAAAATATTTTGAAAAGATGATAAAATCTAAAGAAAAGAAAATCATATATTTTGTGAGGAAACGTAACACAAAGAAAACTTAACATACTGTTGTGTATGTAAGTACTAAATCTTATTGATTTAAAATGAACAAAAATGTAATACATTTACTTACTTTTAAATCCAGTCTTTTACAAACGACATTTTCAGCCATCCCATAAGCAAGACTTTTTACAGCTGCAAGTAAAATGACAAATGTGTACTGATGATAAAATAATCTGTCACAAATTATGTTATTTTGTAAAACACTTTGATCAAAACTACTTAATAGTATACTGACAGATTAAGAAGGTGCTTTGTATCCTTTAGAACCTTACCATCTTCATTAAGCATACAGTTTGCCAGATTTATTTCAGTGAAAGTATGATCTGTTGCCAGCACTTTGCCAAGTATAGTACAGGTCTTTGGTGACAGACTCTCTCTGGATAGTTGAAGACTTTGTTTGCCTTTTCTGGGATTTGTGGGTATACTGAAAGAAATATTTTAAATGTACACATCTGTGTGTATGTTAAGGGGGGGGAGGGTATTTGCATCTTAACAGACTACATTTAAAATTATATATAAGTGATGTTCAAAGCCTTAATCATATATATGGTCCAGAAGGTGGAAATATTTATTAATGGTTTACTACAGTTTATGTGACTAAAAGGGAATGAAATACTGATAAAATTTAGCTGTGTGGTGCACCTGCAACCTTGTTCAGTAACCTATTAATATATACAAAACGTTTTCCAATTCTTTAATCGAATCAATATAATAATTAATGCAACATCATTTTGTGAAAATATTGAAATACCTGCAAAAATTAATATTTACAATATTGGGACACAAAAAACATCAAATTCTTACATTTTAAGTTGTTTCATCAAGGCATCATGCGGTTCCACATTGTACTCCCTACACAAGCATAAGTAAGCTGACTTGAATTCATCCATCGCAACACCATCTCTAGTAACTGGGAATCAGATATAAAACATGTTATCACCAAAGATACAGGGGAAAAATACTTGAAGTACACAGTATACATTTGAAAAAAAAATACATTTATTTTTCATCTCAAAAAAGTATATTTACCACAACTTTGGTATAAAAGAAAAATGCATTTTAACACATTCACTAATATTCTTTGTGTTCATTTTGCCAAAGCAATCTATAATAATAAATAAATCAGAATATCTGTGTGAAGTGGATTTAAGATTGTGTGACATTCTTCTGTTCAGTATGTAACATATGGCATACTGGGTATTTACGGTGTACAATATAATCAATTTCCAAAATGCAAAATTATCTTAAACCATCTCTCATAATCTGAATTTATGATAAACATAAAATGTCCACACTCTCTTTACAAAAGTGATCAAGAGCTTCTCTCTGAAGAAAGGAATATGAGGATGGTTATATACAGTACATGTACAATGTAGCTCTAAATATGGGGGCGTCTCGATAGTCCCAAAGTTCATTGGTCCCATTGGCCCGAAAAATCGTAACATTTTTATCAGTTTTTTAATCAAGGGTTCGTTGGTTCGAAGGTTCTATAGTGAACATTCGGACCAATGAACCTTTGGACTATTAACCGATTACAGTGACGTCATATTTGCTCCGTAACACTCGTCCAGCGGCCATTCTGGAGGGAAAGAACGACGGGGAATAGTAGCGTAAATATAGGTGAACCAAATAAAATGAAATAATCTTCATATCGTGATCAAGTACACCAAAAGGAAAATAGTATATACATGTGAAAACTTCAGCTGATCAGCGTGATCGACCCATATAAACTCAAGACAGTCCAAAGACGTGAAATCCTGACCTACCCCTGTATCCCAACATCGTGGAATGTTGTCAGAAGCTAGTTCAGTTATCTTGTACTTCATTTTTCTTGTTCATTGGGTAATAAAAGTTATAGCTTTAGAGAGTTTACTGTGTAATCATAAGTTCAACCTTTCATAGAAGCAACTTTGTACATAAAGGATAGATATAAGGAGAAATTTGAGCTGACTATCGGGATCAACCCTTACGGACTCAAAGAAGAGAGTATGCAGGGTTGTGACAAGAAATATTGCTGTCAGATATGATTTAACTGTACATCATGAAGCTGTCAGAAATTATTTCAGCATTCTTGTGCTTCATTTTGGTTCATTAGGAAGTATTTGTAACATGACTGTTGTTTGAGAGTTCAATATTTTACCATGAATTCAACCATTCACAGTAGCAACATTGTTAGCATTTTATTATTAGTCCAGACCTTCACAGAAGCAATGTATTTTTCAAACTTATGACATTCAATGTAACATAACAACAAGTCA